CCTCGCTGCCACCGCTGCCACCACGATGCCCACGGCCCGGACGGAGGCTCTGCCCGACGCCGCACGCGCTGCCCGGGTGGCAAAGCTGGGATGCAAATGCGGGGTGCAAAGCCTGGATGCAAATACGGGATGCACACCTGGGCTGCAAAGCCAGGGCCAAACCCGGGATGCAAACAAACCCAGGGTGCAAATCAGGGATGCAAATCCAGGCTGCAAACCTGGGGTGCAAGCCTGGAATGCAAACCCAGAGTGCAAACCCAGGGTGCAAACCCGTAATGCAAACCCGGGGTGCAAGGCCTGTTTGGCCCCTGTTCAGCCCATTTTACGGGATGCACACCTGGGCTGCAAAGCCAGGGCCAAACCCGGGATGCAAACAAACCCAGGGTGCAAATCAGGGATGCAAATCCAGGCTGCAAACCTGGGGTGCAAGCCTGGAATGCAAACCCAGAGTGCAAACCCAGGGTGCAAACCCGTAATGCAAACCCGGGGTGCAAGGCCTGTTTGGCCCCTGTTCAGCCCATTTTGGGCCCGTTTCCCCCCAGGTGGCAGGCAGGGGAGGGGGTGGTGGCGGCGGCAGACCCGTAATTGCCGTCTGGCTCCAGGCGGGTTTATGGCCTCCAGAGGCCGCGGGGAGGCTCCTCATCCCCTTCCCCGTCAGGTTCTCCAGGCTCTGCTGCCACTGGAAGGTTAGTCCAGGAGCCAAGCGCTGTGGCCGCCAGAGCCTCTGGCCTCTCCTGGGTTGTTCCTGTTAACACCATAGCAGGGAATTCCAGGGCAAGGCTGGAATGGATCAGTTTTCCCACGCTTCCTCCTGCTCTGACCATGAGGGATTTGCACATGGTGGCAGAGACAGGTTGGGCAACTGAGGCCACTGTCATCATTTTGACGCCACCAGCTCTGGCCAGCGTAGCCACCCCTGGGGACGCTCCCGTCTTTTCTTCCGGAAAAAAGGCGCTGCTGCCACTCAGCGGGGGGAAACCTTTCCCGCGGCTGGATTTTCCTGCTCACTGATTGAATGAAATCCACCCCAGACCTCACGGGGCCGTGCCGGCAAACGCTGCTGGAGCGGCGGGCATGGCGGGACACTCCAGCCGGCCGCTCCTGCAGCCGGGAAATGGTCAGAAAAGTGGGAAAACCCTTTGGGGGGGTGGAAAGCAGCACTGCGGAGGGTGGCGGGCACAAGGGGATGGGGGACACGTGCGTCCCTATCCCTCTGCTGCACGCCGCCTCTTCCCGGGGATCTCCGGAAGAGCCAGCGCATCCTGGCAGAAAAGCCATCCCGGCTGTGTCACCATGAGGCCAGGTCCAGTTGCCATGGCAGTGGTGGTGGCCCAGGGTCTACCATGGCCAAGGGTGGCCCAGGGTGGCCCGTGGCCCCCCCCCCAGGCCGCTGTCCATGGTCTGCAGGAGCCGCTGTCCCTGGTGCTGCTGGTGCCACCACCGTGGTGGCACCGTCATGGGGGGGCACCTGCTGTGGTGGCACCGCGTGGCTCCCGCCATGTAGCACCCACTATGGTGGTACCATCATGGCGGTGTCCACCGCAGTGTCACCCACCGTCGTGATGGCACCTGCCATTGTGGCACCCGCCGTGGTGGCATCCATGGTGGTGGCACACGCCAGGTGACTGCATGGAGGCCAGTGCTGCTTCCCTTCCCCTCCTCACTTTCCTCCTTCCTCCTTTCCTACCTTTCCTCCACCTTTCCATCCATCCATTCATCCGTGCATCCTCCTTTCCCTCTCCTTTCCTTCTTCTCTTCCTTCCTTGCCTCTCTCTTTCTATTCTTGCTCTTCCTTTCCCTTTTTCTTTTCCATTCTTCTCCCTCCTTCCTTCCTCTTCCTGTTCGTTTCCTTCTCTCTTTCCTTCACCTTTCCTTGCTTCCTTTTTCCTCTCTTTCCCCAACCTCTGTGTCCGTAGATCCACACTCCAAGCCAGGAAAGTGCCAGTGAGGGGGGCCTGGGGCTGCTCCGGGATTGCTCTGGGGGTTGCACTCGAGATGCCCCTGGGTTGCTCCCGGATTCCTCCAGGGTTGCTCGGGGATTGCTCCAAGGTTATTCCAAAGTTGCTCTGGGGTTGCACAGGGACCGCCCCAGGGGTTGCTCTGGGGTGGCACCAGGGTCGTACCGAGGTTGCTCCGGGGTTGCACTGGGGCCGCTCTGGGATTTCTCCAGGTTTTTGCCTGAGCTGCCCCGGGAATGCCCTGGGGTCGCACCAGGGCTGCTCTGCTTCCCCGGGGATTGCTCCGGGGTTGCGCGGGGCCATGGCAGGGCTGCTCCAGCATTTCTCCAGGGTTTTGCTGGAGCTGCCCTTGGGTTGCACTGAGGCTGCTCCGGGACTCCCCAGGGATTGCTCCGCTCTGGGATTTCTCCAGGTTTTTGCCTGAGCTGCCCCGGGAATGCCCTGGGGTCGCACCAGGGCTGCTCTGCTTCCCCGGGGATTGCTCCGGGGTTGCGCGGGGCCATGGCAGGGCTGCTCCAGCATTTCTCCAGGGTTTTGCTGGAGCTGCCCTTGGGTTGCACTGAGGCTGCTCCGGGACTCCCCAGGGATTGCTCCGGG